CTTGGGTCTTCGGGTAAGTGCTGAAGAATATTGGAGCCAATTAGCTGATGAAATATGAACCATCAAATAACCTTTTTATATGGATATATAAATAACCTTTATATATCCAGAAGATGGTAGAGGACAGGAAGACCTGGAGGAACATTCTCCATGGGGTCGCGATGGGTCGGACACGACTTCGCAATTAACAACAACAACAACAACAACAACAAATATGGAACTTGAACAACTAGGTTATTATTCAAAGGAAGTAGCCTGAAACATATCTCAAGTGAAAATACCATTTCTACACTGGCTTCAGTGTAGACATCAACAAGATTAATATTTGTAACTTTAGCTATATATCGTCCAGAATCTGACCTTCCTGAACATTATAGAATACACAAAACAATGTGTGAATTTCTTTTCAAATGGCAAAATCATTTAGTTAGGTATCTCAGGCTTTAGACAATATAGAAATATGTGACTGGCTGTTGATGTCTGTAATATTTCCAAACATGCTCACAAATGACTTATCCAATTGATGTTTGTTATTATATTTGTCTTGAACAAGGCACCAGGGAAACCATACAAGTATTTAGTGGGGTCAGTTGGAAAGGGATTTCTCTACTACCGTAAAACTATCTATGTAGAACAGGGATTTAAGATGTAAGTATCTGTTTTTGAACCACGCAATGATACGTTCCCAAATTCTTTTAGAACTCACTGCTATGAAAGCTATAGGAGATTTGCCTTTTAATCTGACAATTCTAACTGGCTTTCAGTTGTACCAGGAGTTGGAGAAAAATGATCTTAATGCTGACCACAGCTGAGAAATAACATTTACTTAAGAGAGATGATGAATTGCCCAAACTGAGAAAGCTGTGCTCTGAAATACTCCTAGATGGCAATTCTCCTGCCCTTTGCTGTTGCTATAAAAAGTCTTCCCTTTGCTATTTGGAATTATGTTCTGCCAGCACAGCAGTCTGTTAAGGACTGTTCTCAGTCTTGAAAAGAAACGGACAGTGTAAGCTAGACAATCCAGTATTTGTTGGACTTGGAAGGATAAAGGCAGCAGAGTTAGATCCCGTCCTTAAAGAAGCAGGCAGTTCTCAGAATCTGCAAATGATTGTTTAGTCAGGCAAAAACTGCATCACAAGACTACATATTTTTAGAATGTGTGGATCTGTTTAATGAAAAACAGTGTTGAGAAGACAAAATTACTCTCTCTCACTGTTTCCAAGGGGAAGAATAGGTAAAATTGACTTTAAAAGAAAGCATCATGCCAGAACAGATCCAGAGAAGTGTGCATAAACAAGCATAAATAGATCTTGTTCTCTGTCAATATGTAATTAAATAATCCTTATACTTCCATAACAATTCATTGGTGACAGAAGTGAGATAATTAATACAAGCCACATAAGCAAAACTACATGCTCCCAATTATGAATGTAGACCTTAAGTTTTTGAGAGGTAGTAAGTATCCCTCAATCCTACATGTGTAATTTCAAGACTTCTTCCAAGTAGACAAACATGGTATTTAGAAAGAGATGGGGGTCCAGAGATGGGTTTTTGCAGCAAAGTATGTTAACAATCTTCTTTCCAAACCACCATATCCCTTTCATTTATGTCACTGAGCTGAAAGGTTATGCCTCTCAGCTGCTAGAGATCTATTGAATGATTCTGGGTTGGCAAAAAATAAATAAATAAACTTTTTAGGGTAGCTAAAGGTAGTCCTTGCTTAACAATGATAACTGGGACCAGAAATTCCATCTCTAAGCAATGTGGTTATAAAGTGTGAGGTCACACAATCACATTGCTTAGCAACAGCAAACCTGGCATGCCCCTTGTGTTGCTTGAACAAGATGATCCTCATAACTTTCAACAAGCAAAATCAAAGGGGAAGCCTGTGGGAAACTACAAGTCCCAGGTGGCTTGCAAGCAGGCCAGTGGGCAGATAGGTGGCTGCTGCAAGGTGAGGGAGCATACATAGAGGAAAGATTCAAAGATTCAATAAAGAAAAGTACCAGGAATAGGATATCATAAAAATTACAAGTAAATTATGTACAAATGATGATTGTGTGACTGTGGGACGCTCTGGATATCATAGATGCACACGGGTTGCCAAATATCCATATCATGTGACTACTGTGACACTAGGACAACTGCAACTTCAAGGATCAGTCATAAATCTCCTTTTTTCAGAGCTGTCATAACTTTGAAAAATCACCGAATAAGTGGTTTGCAAGCAAGGACTATTTGTATTGACTTTGCAAATATGAGTTTGAATACATTTTTGGAATAGGAGGTAGCACTAAGTTCATTTTATTAAACTATTTCAGCTCTTCCTTTATAGTGCAATGCAAAAGTACAGGTAAGCCCTTGTGGTTACAATGGGGCTGGCTACTAAATAATGGGAGACAAGGTGTCAGATGTGACATACTCTATTGCTGTTAATTGCTGTCAAAACATGGTAGCCCTCTGGGTAATTATTTCTAGAATGACATCTACCACCTTGCTGGTCTTCCTTTTTTGCATTTTCTAAACACAATATCTTTCTCTAACAACCTTTCTTTTTGCATCATGAGTCCAAAAATATGTTTAAGCCTGATTTCCTCCAATAAAGTTTGATTTGTTCACCAGCAGACGATGATACCCATTGCGCCCTTCCCCAGCAAGTAATTCTGAAGAATTGATTTGATTGCTGACTTATTTCTTCACTGTCCATCTTAAGACAGTGGCACCTCATGTCTAATTTTGCTCTTATCAAGACTTCCTCAGTATATTATTAATTTCTAGAGATGTGACAGTATTAGACTGTTGTAACAAAAACATTCTTGGAATATTCAGCTTTCACTTAAAAAGTTATTGTAACTCTTCTACTTTTATATTATTCCTAGTGCTTTAAGATTGTGCTAATGTAAATAGCATCAAATTTTTCCCAACCCCATTAAAGATAAGTCACGATATTAATACATTTTAAGGTAGTGCATTTTCCACATATCTTAATCATATCCCATCATAAGCAAAAGGAGTGGTCTAGATTCTTAAGGCATGGCTTAAATGATGTCGTTTTGCTCACAGGAGGATAGCAGCCAGAATATTAAATATGAAATGACTATTAAAATTCACTCTCAAGGCTCAGTCGGAAGTGGCTCGGAAGAAACAGAGCAACTTATTTCCACCGAAAACTTCACACCCACCACATGATGGCAACAAAGCGTTTCTTATGTCCTTGCAGCCCCAACACGGACAGTAGCCGTAATCCTATTACTGAGTGACACCAGGAAAATCCACAAGTAACCGTAAAAATATCATGGCAATAGCATCCGTTTTATTTTAATATAAACGTGAACCAACTCTTCACACCTCGGTTATAGTGGCGATGAGTGCACTGTTGGGGAGACCTGGAAGACCAGGTTAGTGATAAAGTGTCATAGAGAAAATCTATCTACCTATGTGGTTGCTGGAAGTCGAAAACGACTTGAAGGTACCTCAGCATAATAAAGTCCTTACTTACCGGGATAAAACAGCCCATGTAATGCTTTCAGTAGATCTTTCTTTTTCCTTTTGGACTTAATAACTTGTGGTCCTAAAAGGGTAACGTCCCTCTGTTCCCTCCGCTTCTAATCGCATATAAACTCTAGCTCACTCCAACGGTATTACGACCCTTAACTAAGATACGATAACCTTTACTGTCATTTTTTTTTACTGTGGGCACAACGACACACATCAAAAATGAAATTTAGTTGCCCGCTCTCAAAGTGAGCACATACATGACACACACCTAAACATACTATATACAACATATAAATACTAATACAACATATGTATACGCCAGGGATCGGCAACCTTGGCTCTTTTATAACTCGTGGACTTCAACTCCCAGAATTCCTGAGGCAGCGAGTCATTAAAAGAGCCAAGGTTGCCCTACACCCCTAATAGGGCTATTTATTTTGCGAAAAATATAAAGATACCAATAAGGGACAAACATTGGTTATTCGAATAAATCTATTACCAACTCGTGACCGTCTGTACTTTGCACGTCAGGTATAGTAGCCCTATTTGAACACATTTCCCCCCACATGGAAACGGAGATCGTGAGGGCAAAGAAACTCATTAAAAACTACAAGCCCCAGTATGCACCGCAGCATCAGCAGACCTCCCCCCATGACAAGCCTCGTGAAACGATACCGGCACGCATAGAGTTATAGCACTTAGACTCACACATGGAATACAATGTATTGTCGCCTTTAGATACCTAGATTATAGATCTAGATTCTGTCTATAAAAATACTTTTAATGCTGCAAGCCGTTCAGAGTCGCTTCGAAACGAGATGGGAGGCAAATAAACCTAATAAATAAAAAGTTAAATAATGCATCGAGTAGCATCGCATCTTGCCTCCTGGCTAAAATTTATAATCTGATTTAAATATATTGCTGCTTTAAAGCTGTAATCGTGGGAAAAAAGCTATGTGGTCGTCAGGAAAAGGACTCGATGGCACGATTAACGTTGCAAGGCCCTTAAACATGAGTTTCGATGCAATTTCGCGGAAGGCTGGATTTTCACGATCTGGAGCGTCGGACGTGGAACCCGAGGTTGGGCTGAGGAAGTCAAAAGGCTGGTTTCTCTTACAACTTTTCAAATTGTAGCGGCTCCGGCGTCTAAGAGTTTAAAAAGAATTTCCTCATAAAGTAAAACCCAAGCTGACAATCTCAGGAATTCCCCTCTTGGTTGCTATCTTTTAGTTTGCATGAGAGCACGAAATCTAACCCAGGTCATTTAGAGGAATCGTTCTCGCTCCTGAGGAAGGTGGAGGAAAAGAAGGGCGAACGGAGTCTCGGACGTGTTCCGTTGTCAGACCAGGTTTTGGAGTCTCAACTTTTTCCTACGTCTATGTCAGGGGGCAACCTTGGCTCTTTTATGACTGTGGACTTCAACTCCCAGAATTCCCGAGCCAGCATGGCTGGCTCAGGAATTCTGGGAGTTGAAGTCCACGAGTCATAAAAGAGCCAAGGCTGCCAACCCCTGATCTACGTCTACGTCTACGCACCGAGGTCCTCCTGATAGGAAATCTCTTTTCCTGAGGGGAGAGGAGGGGAGTTGGCCAAGCGAAAGTTACTACGTAGCCGCGTTGAACTCGGAAGTACAAGAAGTCTGCGTTGCGCGCCGCAAAGCCAAGCAGCGGAGGAAAGCCTTGCGGGTATGTTATTACTGGCGGGTATAATGACGGCTGAAGTTAAAGCGTTATAGAAATCACTCTCAGAGCCCAGGAGAACTTCGGCGAGAAGGTTGCAACTGCTGGCGTTTGCAGCCTGGGCGTCACGAGACGTAGGGACGCCTGCCCGGGCTCGTCCTCGTGATTCTCTGGAGCTTGCGGAGGGGTAGGGGAGGAAGAGGCGCTTCTGATCTGTCTTTGTAACGGCCAGAAAGCTCTGTTAGGCTTTTTTGAGGGGGCGCTTTGAGTCAGTATTAAGTCCCTCAAGATTTTTTTGGTGGGGAGAGGGTCAAGATCTTGCAAACGATTTGCTCCTGTCTCCTAGAGTGACTGGCCCAAGGTCACCCAGTTGTCTGTGTGCTTAAGGAACTCGGGCTCTGTTGGTTTCTAGGCTTAAAGGTGCCTTTAAGGCAGTGGTTCTCAACCTTTCTAATGCCGCGACCCCATACTACAGTTCCCCATGTTGTGGTGACCCCCAACCACTTATACATCACCGGGTGCCAGGGGCATAGCCAAAGAAAAGGGGGAAAAAATGGCGGACAGCCTTGCTTGGCGACCCCCGTGAAATGGTCGTTCGACCCCAAATGGGGTCCCGACCCACAGGTTGAGAACCACTGCTTTAAGGTCTCATAATCCTCAGCTATGAAAGCGAAGGGGCTGTGTTGGAAGAAGAGCCTTCTTCCTGGTTCATCCAAGCTGGGAATAAACATGGCAACTGCTTTGGGAAGAAGGTTGTAGTTCAGGGCTTTACAACCTTTTCACCCATTGTATCACTTTTAGGATATGGCAATATCTGAGTACCACCAGTCGCCTAGCAAGGTGTCAAAAACTTGATGACCCCCCCAAAAGGAAAAAAGTGATGAAGTACAGGTAGTCTTCGACTTACAACAGTTCACTTAGTGACTATTCGAACTTACAGTGGCACTGAAAAAAGTGTCCCCCCCCCCAAGGCACAGCAGAGCAAGACACCTGCCTGCTCACCTGGCGGTGCTCTTCCTCCTATCCAAAGTTTCCATTGATGTGAACATTTCTGTTGAGGATTGGCAGCGGGGGTGGGGTGGGGTGTTTGTGGTTTTTATTCCCCGGTCTGATGGGTGGTTGCAGCAGGTTTTGGTCACTTCACCTGACCCTGGGACACTGTGACCGTCATAAATATGAATCAGTTGCCACACATCTGAATGTAAATCACAAGACACTGGAGATAAGGCAACAGCTGATTGGTGCTTTTTCAGGGCTCAACAGAAACACCAGGATCAGTACGGCGCTCCAGCTGGAGCTGGAAGAAGTCCTGGAGAAGCGCCGATCAGCTGGAAAGCGGCACTGATCCTGGTGCTTCCACTGAGCCCCGACAGCCCTGCAGCTCCAGCCATCTCTCGCTCAGGCTTGTGCAGTGCTGCCACCGGTTCAGCTCATTCCCCTCCCTATTTTAGATTTATTCTAAAATAGACCACATTATTGAGAATAGAAAATGCTTATATGTCCCAGGATTAGCTTCATAGTAGTTTCACCAATTAGTGATAGGATAAGAAAAGTAACTTAAGAAGATTATTCCCCACACAAGCAAACTTGAGCTTCAGTATGCTCTTGCAGCTAGACATGCCTTTTTCAGGAAAAGGATAGATAGATAAAACACATACAGTAAATGCAAGTGAAACTTTTCCAGCAGATGAACTTAAAACAATCCCTCTTGGTAACTTTGGGCTGTTCTTAAGATACAGAGAGAGAAAGGGGAAAAGAATAAAACAAACAAAACACATTTTTCTTCACTCTGTTGGCCAGACAAACAGAGTGAGGGTATTTCCTTTTTTTGGTGGCTTGTTTTAAGCAGAATTTCTAGCAGAGTTTTAAAATTCTTTTATCTTTGGGTTAGAAACAATAAACAGTCACATTTACCTGACACACAAAGACTTTGACACACATATATACACAAAGGAAAACAGAAAGGGAAACAGATGTCTTAGTTTTACACATCCTAGTCCAGTGATAGCGAACCTATGGCACACGTGCCAGAGGCGGCACTCAGAGCCCTCTCTGTGGGCATGCGCGCTGTTGCCCAAGCAGAGTTCCCCAGAGTAGTGAGCATGTGGCGTTTGGAAGCGACAGGGCAGGAAGTGAGCAAGCAAGCGGTATTGGCCCCCCAGGGGTGCCCCAGAGATGGCGAAGGATTGGCCCCCACCGCTCTGGCCCCGGCCACGCTCACCGAGAGAGAGAGAGAGAGAGAGAGAGAGAGAGAGAGAGAGAGAGAGAGAGAATATATCACTATTTCTTATTTTCCCTTTAAGTACCTTTATTTAGCCAAATTGGTTTCCCAGCAAAGCCCATTTCTTACATATTTCTCTTGCTCTTCGTTTTCAGCAAATCTCCTAGGGGAGTCCTATTTTTCACCTTTGAACTGCCACTTCCCATGTTCCCTCTCAGATGTGGGGCTCACTTTGGCTCAGTCAGGTACAAAAGTGTCTGGGAGGTTAGCTTGGAGTCCCATTCTGGCATGCCAAATTGTTGAAAGAAAAGTCTACATCATGGTTCATCCAAACTGGGGATAAACATGGCAACTGCTTTGAGAAGAAGGTTGTAGTTTATTGGAGAGGAGAGCCAGAGAGGAAGATGGTTTTGGCAGCAAGAGAAGTGAAAAAAAAAAGGACTGAGCACATGTAGGAAGTAGGTTTTTTTATACCCTTTTGTTTAGAGCAGTAGTTCTCAACCTTTTTAATGCCGCGACCCCCAACCGGTCGTAAGTCGAGGACTACTCAACTGGTGCAGCACCGTTTGCAGAATGGGACTTTTGGCGGGCTCAGCAGGGCAGAGAAAGCCTGGACAATTCCTATTGGCTTTTGAAAGCCAATAGAATTAGACTCTATTCAAGAGAGTCTACTCTATTGGCTTTCAAAAGCCAATAGAATAAAAAGGAGTAGCACAGCTGAGGAAAAGGGGGAAAAAAATGGCGGACTGCGTTGTTTGGTGACCCCCGTGAAATGGTCGTTCAACCCCAAATGGGGTCCTGACCCACAGGTTGAGAACCACTGGTTTAGAGTGATTTCCTGTTCCTGTTTTGAGGCTATTTCCTGTGTCATGTATTCTGACCTGAGTTCAGGTATGCCCTTTGGCCTTTGTGAGTTAATCCTACCATGTCCTGTCCCAGGTGGGGTATGCAGATTTTAAGTCTTCTTAATCTCCTACTCCAACTTTCCTGATGGTTTACATCTGCATTTGTACAGAGCTGGTTTCTGCTTGGGGGAGGCAGACTTTGGGCTATCAAGGAAAACTGGGCATGCTTTTCTGTTTCTTTAAGATCCTTGGAGGAAATACATTTTTCTGCCCTTTTAATATTTCCTTCTCTGGGGGGGGGGGGGCTGACTTCCCACAGGTGTCTGAAAGGGATAGACACCGAATTCTAATGTATTTCCTCAAGCGCGGGTAATTCTCGACTTAGGGCTACAATTGAGCCCAGAATTCTTATTGCTGAGAAATTTCTTAAGTGAATTTTGTCTCATGTTAGGACTTGCCACATTTGTTAAGTGAGTCACTGCAGTTGTTAAATTAGTAACATGGTTGTTAAGTGAATCTGCCTTCTCCATTGACTTCGCTTGTCAGAAGGTTGCAAAAGATGGTCACATGATCCCGGGGGCACTGCAACAGTCATAAATATGAACCAGTAGTCAAGCATCTGAATGTAAATCACGTGACCGTGGGGATGGTGCAGTGGTGTGAAAAATGGTCATAAGTCACTTTTTCAGTGCTGCTGTAACTTTGAATGGTCACTAAATGAACTGTTGTAAGTCGAGGATTACCTGTACTTCACAGAAAGAGTAGTGAAAACTTGGAACCAACATTCCGTGGAGGTAATGGGTCAATCATCATTAACTGAGTTTATGCTTGAGATAAACACATGTCCACCATCTGACAAAAAAAAAAAACCATAAAAAAGGAAACAAAAAACTCAAAGGGTTTTTAATGGACGAGTATGTCTTTTTTTGTCATCACTTTTCTACGTTTCTAATTTGTGTGGTAAGCACCGAGATACCTAGTTTGAAATTTCCTTCCCCATTGCAAAACTCAAGAGTGTCTTCTAGCCAGTCAATTGCAGATTTAAACATAATGTACATATATTAAGAGATTTGGATGAGATCATATCCCATTTGTATTAATTTTATTGGGGGTAATTTAAATATTGCTCAACAAAAATGCTGCTTTTGCTTGCTCAAATTTACTTTCATGGCCAAGTTAAATTCCTAAGAAAAGGCCATACCAGTACTATTATTATTCTCAGCCATCATGCTACTCTATTATCAACTGCAATGGAAAAAAATCTGGATCAGACTATACTGTACTGGTCTGCGTTTGTATGGCAATGAAATAGTATCTGCTTTTCTAGATAAAGGTTCCTGGCACATGGAAAAGTTTAAATGTTAAAAGAAGAGCATGTTGTTTCTTCACTTAGTCCTTATGCCTGTGGACCGAAGTACAGTAATACCAAACAAAAAGGAGGCAGTTACATGACACTTTATTCAATGTAGGCCTTAGGGTTTGAAGATGATAGAACAATCTTTGCCAAAAGCTAGCAACTGTTTTTGGAGTTTTGCTTTTGTCTAAGTACGGTAGGATGTGATTAGAGTATTCAGAAATAGCCATGTGTTCATATATATTAATTCAGTATTGCATCTTGGAAAACTAAAGGCAGTTAAAGCAATTTTAAGTTACAGTCTAGTGTTTTGTGTGTGTAAACCGTTTGCAATGTTTTCCTATTTTCAAATTACTGTGTTTAAAGGAAAAGGAGGGGAGTGTGCATATTACCTTGTATTACCAGTAAATAATTCTTGGTAAGGAATGTAAAAAAAATGATGTGCTTACTTTAATGTATTTACTTTAATGTTGATTTTGCAATGTCTCTCATCAGATCCCAGGAAAACCCTTTAAAAGTTCTGAAAACTGCATGTTGTCTATAGTACAGCAGTGAGATAGTTCAAGGATACTCACAGGCAAGCTCATATTGCAAAAGTACTATTGAACTGTCAGTTACCAGTTTGTATTTTCGGGCAAAATTCAAAATAGTATTGATAAGCTTTAAAGCCCTTAGCTCAAGAATACTTTATGTCTCTTCTAACTCCTACTCCTACTCCTTTAGGCTGCTGGCACAATTTAAACTGATACGAAATATATTGAATTGAAATATTTTCCAAAGCACTATCAGAACATTTTTTATTACTGCCATCATTTAATGCAGGCTTGGGCATTAAGTGGGCTGCCTGCAGTGCAAACTTCTACAGGCAGCCATTGCCAATTTACTAGCATTGTTACTATCAACAGTTTGCAGACCATTTTTTAAAGGTCCACCCAGTTGAGCACTGATGGTGAGAAACCTGTGTCTGGCTTATATATTAATGGCTCCTGGATTTATTCGTAAGAAATCATCATCTTACTGCAAAACCCAAGAACCATGGCATCCTACCAGAATAAAAGGAATCTGAGCTTTTAGCTTCTATCTTGAGAGGACTCTGGCTGATTGCTGGACCTTCCAGAAAATCAACAATTGATTCAACATTGTAAATGACAGGGTGATGGCTTTGACTTTCTCTTCCTACCAGCCTGCTGAGTGGAGACTGTGTGTGCATCTATTAGGCCTCCAGCCAATACATGTGGCTTTAAAGGCAAAAATGTTAGCTATCTTTTCTTAACTGTCTTTGCATGAGGAGTATTTTGCCCTGACATCACTATAACCCATTGGGAGGCTTGTCTGTGGAGATTCTCAATCATCCAGGTCATGGTTGTCTCAGTTCAAGAACCGAAGAAGCTTCTTGAATGAGAAGCAAAATATTTTCAAGGAAAAAAAATCCAAGAAAATGCCTTTTTAAAAGCACCTTTGGGACATTGGGAAGCTCATTTGAATATCTTTGTCCTGTAGTAACCTGCAAAACTCATTTCGGTGTCAGACCAGCACTTATTTAAGAGACGGGCTGCAAGAAAGGTGATTTTTAAATCTCTTTTCAGTGTATTCATGCACAAACATTTGAATTGTTACAGGATCATAACTCTTATTTATAGCACATGTTGTATGACTTCTGTTCTAAAAAATGCTGTCCTGAACCATTCATGTTCTGAATGAGATGCTGCACTTGATCTAAGGAAGGATAGCAGATTTTAAATGTTTCTCAGAATTTAGAAACAGAAAACATGGCAAAAAAAAAAAAACTATGAGCGTTCCATTGCCTTTTGAATTTTTCTTAATTTTTTTTTTAAATTGTCAGATGATGGACATGTGTTTATCCCAAGCATGTTTAAACTCAGTTACTGATGATTAACCCACCTCTGCTGAAAGTTGGTGTCAAGCTTCCCTTACTCTTTCTATGAAGTAATTTTATGAACTTTATGTATCTATGCTGCTATAAGATAACATTTTAAGTATTTTTTTATCAACTAGCATGGAGGAGATCCAGATCATGATAGTAATAGAGAACTCTCTTTTCTGATCAAGGAGGTGGTTCTAGTTTTAACCTTCATTAACTTGGTTTGCTCTATTCAGCTAAACTCCAAACATCCCTGTACCACTAGTCTTTTAACAAGTTCTATACAATGTATATAATTAAAAGGGTTGCATTTGTCCCCCCTGCATTTGTCTTAATTAGGATTTAAGTTCTTTGCTTTCTTTGCAGCAAAAATGGTTTCTGCAAAGCAGCTGGCTGACTTTGGCTACAAGACCTTTTCGAGCTCCATGATGCTTCTTACTCTGTATGGTGGCTACCTCCTGAGTGGTGGTGTATATCACACTTATCAGAGAAATAAGCGACTGAAGGAGCAAGGGATAAATGCTGATGATACTAAGCAGTGAACACTCAGCACCTCATAGGATGCGTAATAAATGGAAGACTGGTTTGCTTTATCAGAAACTTCTGGGATTTTTGCCACGAAGAATATGAATTTCAAATTGTGTTGAAAAAGTGGAAATATCTGTATGGATATATAGTCATTCGATTCTTTGTTCACAGTTTCTCTCATTCCTACAATAGAAACTGTGAAGCAACTATTAAAAAAATTATTTACAGATAACTTGGCATATGTTTTTATTTCTTTCTGGCCTTAAAAAAAAACCCTCCTCAAATAGAATCAACTCATTAAACCAGAGTAAGGTTTTCATTCTTACCAACTTCCTGTCCCAATTTTAAAACAACGTATCTCACATTTCAAAACAACTTGTTTATTCTGGCATAGGGAATAGTTTAAGTAGCTTTTGAAAGATGTGAATTTCTTGCATGTGATGATTTATTCCCTGACCATTCTTCAGCTGATTATAGGTAGATCCTTCTATTCCATCAGTTCTTTAAATCTATGTGCTACCTAGCATGCAGATGATTTTGCCAGCCATTTTCATTGCACCAGAATAAAAATAAAAAGTAATGAAGAAAATTATATTTAAACAGTCTAAGAGGCAATGTAGGATCATCGTGCCAACAGAAGGTCATGCTTAGGGTTAGATCAGCAATCATACCTACTGAGACACAAACATGAGCTATTTGTTTCTGCAGTGTCAAGATGATAATTCTTTTTCGTCATTAAATCTTAACAACAGCAAGCTAGTAAAATAGAACTCAAGACCACAGTGAAGATTACCTTTCTCAATAAAACAAAATGCATAGATCCTATTCATCAAGCACTTTTTAATCACAGAGTAAACAATAATATAAAATGATGATAATTCAGGGGATTTCCAAAGCCCAAGTCCTAACAACACTTCCCCATCTTCCATCTCCTTTCAAGTACCATTGAATAAAAGGCAAGTGGGGGCAGGAGACCCATCCAGTCCTTCTGAGACAGCCACTGCTTCCCAGCAGTATCACACAAGATTGAGGTTCGTCTGGGATATCACTTTTCTTCTCAAAACGTGGGTACGTTTACAACTTATCTTTATGGGACAATCAGCAACAAACACTGGTCATCCCTATCTATAATCCTATTGCTGAAAACAACTCATTTTGTTTGGTAATTCTTACATGAACTCAAATCCAGAGTTTGTAAAAAAAAAAAAAAAAACCCACAATGAAGACTTTGGAGATGCTGCACCACTCAAGAAAAATAATAAATGCCAGCTTTCTCTTTCTTATCACTCAGTAAGATGACATGAGGAAAAAAAATATTTACCATTGATATGCCATGCACTAATTAAGCAAACCCTTCACTCTACCACAATCCTCAGGTTGTTTAGGTGTAGCCCAGTTTAGCATCCTAGGACATAAGTAGGTCCTACAAGAAATATGGACTGACTGTCCAAATATCCTGGAATGTAGTAAAGCAGACAGAACTCGTTAATGATCAAGCTTAACAAAGAAAAATGTTCTGAAGTCTACTTTCTCTCCTTCTCTCTTACATATTTCAACAAACATTTAAATACAAAATGGCTTATTTTCTTTAAAAAGTTAAAGTCGAAAAAGGTTTTGCACTAGTAATCAGCTTCTTCATCCTGTGCAAAATTGCCCATGCTGTGCCTGTTTCAGATTCGCTGGAGGATTTGGATTGTTGTGGCAGTTGATTAAAAATTTCTTGTAACGGGGGGGGGGGCATTTCTAGGTATTTGAATTCAAATCTTTAGAGTGGGGGCAGCTGTCCTGTTTTTACTCTTCTGCCCATTGGTCACTAATTACATGGCCATTTATCCGATTGCGATCATTGCTTGGAGTGTTAAGAATTCCTTTTCTGTTGTTTGAAGTCACATCATCATCAGAGCTGCTCTCCACATCACTGCGCTCATCTTTTGATACCTGATAAAAAGAAGCAGAAGTATATCACAAATAAGGAATTTAAAAATAGTTAAAAACAAGCTCATATACAGTAGATGCTTGTTCTTTAAATGGTACAATTTAAACATTTAATTATGGAACTGAAGAACTTAAAAAGACTAACAATACCAGGAAACTGGACGGCCTCAAAAATCATCAAGCTTTCTTTGAGAGCAAGGTTTGCTCAAAAAATAATGAAAATAATTTTGAGGGAGGCAAAATCATAGATGCACATGCTAGTACAGGCTATTATAGTGAAAAGAGCAGATAGCATTAATTATATATTAAATTCTCTACAGGAATATATTTTTATTAATAACAAATTGTTTTCTGCCTTTTCTCTTTCAAAGACATCCTAGTTAACAATCAAAATGTTTATATATTAATAAAAATAGCCTTAAAAATTAAATAGATTTAATGTTCTTAAGAATATTTAAAGTGTCTTTAAAATAGCTGATTATAGTAAAATTAAAGACACTAGATTGATCTGCCTAAGATATGGTGTTCCATAACCTGCCCAACAAAACATCTCAGATGAAAGAGAGGATCCTCCACAAACTTATCTTGGAAAAAAAGCAGTATCACAAGACAAGATGGGTAATTCCCAACCATTATTCTGAATTGATCTCATCTCTTTCACCCTAAGGTATTCAAGCAAAGTAATGGAAAAAATAGCCCATCTTCTGACTCTTTTATCTTCTCCCATTTTTATATTAAGTCAATGAAGTAATCATGGGGACCACAGAATGTTGCCACAAAATAATCAGATACAAAGCACATGAGAAAAAAGATTGGTCTTAAACAGAGAATACATCTCAGCTTGCAATACAAAGAAGAAGCAAGGAGCTGTAGAATAATAAATAACAGTTGAAGAGTTTGTTAAAGATAGCCTAGAAAAATATCTGATGGTATTTCTATACCTATCATGTTTCTATCAGCAGAATCCCCTGGAGTACAATTTGTATTAGGTATACATGATCAGGTCTGAATCAACACACATTAAATTGGGAAAGGAAAAAGAACTGAACATATCCATCAAATATAATTTAAAGCTGAACAGAAATATTCTGCAAAAATTCACAGCTGTCAAATTTGCAAATTTGAAAATAATTTGATATATTTAGCATGATCAACTCCTGGCTGACCCTGGTGATGAAGAAGTGGTCTCTTCTAATTCCCACTATAATATCACTTTGATAATTATTTTATCTCAAAGAAATTGCAAAAATGTGAATAACTGAGACAGTTTAGATAAACTATAACACAACATTATTTTGATATAATGAAGATAATTGAAAATCACAATAAAGAGATCAAGGGAGACATCTAAACTGAAATGGAAACATTCTGAATAGAATACATACATAGGAACATTATACATATCATTTATTTTCCTGAATATCATCTTCTATGTGCCCCATGAATTTGATAGTAAGAAAATATAGCTTGATAACAAAATTATGTCAATTGTATCAAACATTGGAGGAAACAGGTTTTACATTCCAAATCACTCAAATTGACCCAAATATAACAATATTCCCCAGTATAGTAATTCAAAAGTGATTCTTTTGCACTGTTATAGTTACGTCACTTTAGTAAGCAAGAAGTTGATCAAAAATGTTTTATCAGAAACTACGGTAACAGCAAAAGTAATTATTGCCATAATTTTGAATTTTGTAGTTACTAGTGCATGAATGATAGAGGAAGGTTTTCACATTAGCAGAAATGGACCAGTTGACTAACTGATATTGGAATGCCGATCAATATCTTATTTCGACTGAAAGAGGGGAAAAAAACAGAATTCCATAAACCTCAAAGGTTTAGCAGTTTGGTTTGCCATAAGGTGGCATTATATTACTGTTGAAAGAAAAGTAAAATCATTAATTGAGATTAATAAAGAGGCTGAACTGGTACATTTCTTCAGAGCCAACTTAATGATTTTATATCATCATTTAAGCACTTGCCAAGGCAGGTACACCTCTGATTTAACAAGGCTAACAAAGGTAGAATGTGCTCAGACTAGCCTCACCCCTGATTACTCTCAGCCAGGCGTATGCACTTTGAACAGCCTAAGCAAGGCACATAAAAATCAGAATAAAGCCATGCCAGTGGCAAGTTAATGATTGCTAAGGCCAACTGGAGAGACCTACTTTTCAGAGCTGTAATTATCCTGCTCTTGCCTGAAATTTCTTGCACAAGAGAAGACAGAACAAAGTGGACTGTGATCTATTCTTAATTTATGACTATTGTTTTCCTGAAGCAGCTGTAAGAAAGCTAGCGGGAAACACTTTTAAAGCGTTTATATTCTGGATTTCTGTGCCAATTCCAATTATAAGTTGTCCCAATTTTAACTTTTAAATACCACGATGGCTTGGTCCTATGCACTTAGGGCAGTGGTTGTCAACCTTTTTAATGCCGCGACCCCCAACCGGTTGTAAGTTGAGGACTACTCAACTGGTCGTAAGTCGAGGACTACTCAACTGGTGCAGCACCGTTTGCAGAATGGGACTTTTGGCGGGCTCAGCAGGGCAGAGATAGCCTGGACAATTCCTATTGGCTTTTGAAAGCCAACAGAATTAGACTCTATTCAAGAGAGTCTATTCTATTGGCTTTCAAAAGCCAATAGAATAAAAGGGAGTAGCACAGCTAAGGAAAAGGGAGAAAAAATGGCGGACTGCGTTGTTTGGTGACCCCTGTGAAATGGTCGTTTGACCCCAAATGGGGTCCCGACCCACAGGTTGAGAACCACTGGCTTAGGGCATTATGACAGGTTCCCTCACCTTCTTATACCATCAGGAGGAGACCTGGAATTATGGGCCCTATACAACACCTGTTTGGTAAAATCTCATCTTAACTTTCCCAAGATGAGCAAAAGGATTATTTTGAGATGCAATGAGTTGAGCAGGATTTTATATTTTGTACGCAGTAGTTTTTCATCATAAAGCTTTATATGTGATCCAAAATAAAATATTTTTAACATTTTATTGTGTCTGGCAGTCCTAATTACTTTTTTACTTTAAAAAGAAAAGATTTATTAAATGCAAATAACTTTAAAATGGAATATAACAAGTGGTTATAGGGATGAATAGTACTGAAGATTATAGCCTCCTAAGTCTAAACTTTCAGAATGATAACAATTTAAAAGACATGTGAAGCAGTTGCCACTTGACATTAGGCAGCTCTGAGATTTAATTTGGGATAAATTTAAATAAATAAATAAATTTAAAGCCCAGGAGGGGGGGGGGGAAAGGCAGCCCTCCCCCTTTCCCTTACAAC